AATGGCGGTTGTGTAGCTGGCCAGGGCAGCCGACACAGCACCGAATCGGAATATACACCTTACCCGTTTTCTTGGAGCAAATTTTCCTCATATCCATCTGATTCCGCAGTGGGAGCGAGCGTAGTTACTCAGTACGGACGCTTGCATACTACATACATACATTCGGCATGTTCGAGGAATCATCGAACATATCATCCACGACTGCGGGGACGTATACATGGAAGGTATCAAAATAGGTTAAATGATGGCATTCTCTGATAATCCGGATCCCGTAATCCTCGAGAGAACGAAGAGGCTCCTGGAAGTTCGGGCGAGAAACACAAGAAGCCAGGATCAGGGGTTGACCTGTCTCAACAAAAGGGCGTCTCAGACAATGAGACATGAAAAAATCAGGGGGGCCATCAAAATACCCATACCAATGCTGCGATGTTGAATTGAAGATCAGGGCGAGCAAAGAGCTGCGATGAGCATTTTATCATATCATGAGCGAGCCATCAGCCTCAGTCGATGCTAGGAGCTCCGTTTCGCTGGTTTTCTCTCGGTCGTCCGCGATAGAATCCGGCATTGGATACCAACATACATATATCCGCCGAGTATTGAATCCCTCGATCGGATGAATACAAGTACAAGAACTCAGGCTCGCGCATCAGCAGGAACGTGGAGAATAGAAAAATCGGCTGATGAGCTGAGATTCGGTTGTGAAGCAGTTTTCATCTCGCTGGCGCGGCGCTCGAGAAGTCCTAATAACATTTATAGAGGCGACATAGTTCCCAGCGGTAAATTTTACAGCTCCATTGATGTACACCTTATGGGTGAAGTGTGGGAACGCCCTATTACGGATCGAGAAAACGTATTACGCGCCCCGTGAAACGCCTTATCTGGCAATACAGAAGGTCTCCTAGGTTGGGAGCGAGGTCGTCCGTACAAGGTCGCGAGGTAGGCTCTGCGAATCGTTTCTAGTCATTCACCAATCGAAGCAGAGCGTCACAGAGGTATGCCATCGGCAGCCGGGCGACTGGGTGGGCGACCGACTAAACGTTCGTGGAGGCAGCCGGGAAGGTGCATGGCCAGGGCGACTTGGATCGCCGTGGAACAATGCGCGAGCTGGAATCTTTTTGCCCTCTCTTCGAGCGTCTCCTCGCCTGCTCCTAGTCACCTACTGACTGTGCATTCGCATTTCATTTGCAAAATTTGTGCTCATCATCTGTTTCTCTGGAACGAACGAGGGATCAAGTCGTTCTCATCGGATCGACGTCGTCGGACCCAGCTTGCGACCGCCAGTCCGAACAAGTGTTTCCGCCAGAGTGATCGTCGATCGCATATCACGTGACGCATCAGAATCGCAGAGAACCGGATCGATCGGGATCCCATCAGGTTCTTTTTGGCTGTAGTATCGGAATACTTTCCCATACGGAAATTCGTTCACTGGTGTCTGTGAGTCCCTACCGGGAGGAGTTCGGTCGAGAGTTCGAGAGCACATCTGGAGATCTACAATAGATCTGATCCTGTTTGCCTCCGCGGAAGTCTTGGTTCCCTCGTTGATACTCGATCTGCTGGTTGCTCTTATATCGAGCGTTCGATTCCCTGGATTGTCTCAGTCCGAGAGGCTCCGGAGTACCACGTATGCCCGCGGCTGACGATCATGACGCCCGAACGCGGACGAGAATAGTCCTGCAGACCATGCTCCGACGTGCGAGGTCCCAACCAGACCACTGGCGAAAGCTATGGGCATCCAGCCGCGTCTTTCATCATGAGGAAGACTCAGAATCATGTTGCTTGAGATCTCCTGGTTTGTATTCCTGGAAGGCTCCGTTGAAGAATACTCTCAGCAATCAGGGTTCAGCTTGTACACGACCGATCTTCGCCATTGGGAGAGCTTCCGGGAGCGCTCTCGGCCCGAGTCGCGGTCCCTTCGACACACAAGATTCTCTTGACCTCGGGAGTGTCCCCTCGTGGATCTTCATACTTTGCGCCAAGATCTCGAGGGAAACTCGGACCCAATGGGTTGAGAGAGTGACGGCCATCGAACTCGAGACAGGTCAATCTTCCATGTAAGCATCAGGTCTCGTTCATGGGTTCATCTCCTTCCTTACCTCGGTGAGCGTCTCGCCCTGCCATGAAGGTATCGCGATTGAGCTTGAACGCGATCTTTCGCAACTCCGACCGATGGGGATCTTTGTTCTTCCGAACTCTCCTAGTTTTCGTCCCTTGCTGTTCGACCCTTTGTCCATCCTCAACTCGCCAGTCCCACGCGTGTAGGCCCAGAGCACTCACTTGTTCCATCCTGGTTTCCCCGCTTCTATGGAATCGAGCACCCCGAAAAATGTTCCCCGCGCTGTAGTGACGACTCTGCTGTCGTCGATGAGGGTTTCAGAGGTCAGCGGGAGCATAGAAATTCATTCAACGAGTTCGAAAGTTTAACTTCGAATGATGACCATCTAGGGATCTGGGGCGAGGGACTCGTCACGGAGGGCTCTCATTCGCTCTCGACGCTCCCCTCGGATACTTCGCTGTTTTGGCTTGATCCTCTTGAACATAAGGAACTCCTGGTTTTCGGAACTGTGCAGCTCCAAAATCGGTGACAATGACCCACGAATCGGTCCCGAGTCCCGAGTAGAATCGGAAGGATCATTGACTTTCTCTGATCTCCCTGCCTGCAATCACCGCGCTACGATCGGAGGGGGTGGACCGCCCAGAAATTCAATTCAGAGTTCCGTGAGCTTCGGAAGCAGTTCACGGATCCCACCGGAGGAGCCCACCGCCTTCCTCGTGCTCGCTTCGCCCAAGTTAACATCGTAAACAGATCTCAAGGATCCCTCGGCATTCGCACAAATCCGTGTCGAGCCTTGTCGCGACTACGATTTGTGCATTACCGGGAGGAGACGAATGTTTTGCTTCGACTGGAATGCGCTGTCACGTTCGCGCGTGGGATACCCTCGCATGATGGCGATCAGCTGATTGCTTGACATCCTTCGGGAGCTCGGAAGAACAGCGATGCTTGGCCGATGAGCTTTTGACAACCACGGACGCAGGGATGGGGTACCGTGAAGTGCCGTTCCTCCGAAACAGTCTCAGATCGAGGAAACCGACGAGAAACAAGGAGATTATACAAAAGCAACACCCGGTTGCGCACCGTTGAGGGCAGACCGGTAATGCGGTTCGTTCCGTTGCCGAAAGTTCCCGATTCAACTGGGAACACCCTCCGAGATTCATAGAGGCACAGAACGCGCCGGACCGCATTCAACCGCTTGGAGCTCCAGCGACCCAGTGACGGATTTCGTAACATAGTTTGCTCTCAATTTTTTTATCGAGTCTTGATTCACCTCTCTATCATAGCAGCTCACAGAAGGAATGTATTTGTCCTAGGGTTTACGGTGTGACATTATCTGAAAGTGGGAAGTCGAACAATTCAGTCTTCGGGTCCCCTTTCTTGAGATGACGTACAGGAGACATTGTACGTCGCCCAAGCCTCTCATCAATGATGTTCGATGCATGTGTCACGTGCACAATTTCCACGGTAAGCCTGAGTCCGAGTCCTAGGGGACTCGATGAATGTTGGAGTTTCCAAAGTTGGACTGGTGACTGCATTCTCCAGTGATAAATATGATGATGGCAGACACGATGGGCAAAACTTTCCCCGATTCGACCTCATATTCTTCAGAGTTGCTGTTTCGAACGCGATGCCGCAGTCGATACTCGAAAAACAGAGTAGCCAGAAGGCGAGAGACAAAGGATAGCTCGAGTCTGCCTGTTCTCCTCTTCTCATCCTCGATGTCCATGAACTATGTATCTCTCGCGGAGTTTTCGCAACGTTTTCCCGAAGAGCACAATCCCAACCGTCGGAAAGCCCAGTCCGGGTTCTTCCAAAGAAATACGGCGCGGCACCGGCATAACGCTCGCAGCATCGCTGCTCTTTCCGATGGCGCTACAATGACTGGCGGTCGGAGCAGGATTCACCGCGTGTATTCGGCTCAAACTTTCGACCATTGTACTGCGCGACGAGCTTCGCCAGCAGAAGACCTTTCCAACCAAGGCAGCCACCTAGAGCACAGAAGGCGGGTCGCTATCTCGAGGATTGAAACAACGCAAAATATGATGATGTCATCGAGGTATTCCCGGATGATTTGAGTGACGTTTTTCCTGGCGTCCTGAAAGGGCTCAATTGTTCAGGATGAGGTGCGATATATTCCCCCGTAGGACGTGACGAATGAATGAATGGAAAAACATGCCGTACATACAGATATATCTCTAGGGCTACCGGGACCTTCCTGGTGGGCGGGGCTCAGTTCTCGAAAGAGCGTGAATCTCTTCTGGAACTTGGTTGTATGTATCTCCACAATTTTCTGGTCTTCCAACAGCGCGAGAGAGAGAGAGCACTCGTAGCCTTGTGTCCTCGTCCAATTATTCTGCGATGGTGGAGCAAGTATACGGTGTGCGTAATAAATTGAATTCCTTCCAAGGCACGAAAATTCCACGAAAATGCCACTAAGCAACGGGTTCTCGACGCGTTGCCGGAACTTCTTCGAGTTCTAGCATTGGAATTTATCCAAGCCCCTAAGTTATGTTTTTCCTCGTTGACCCCCTGAAGATTTCGACCGAATTTAGCGAACGAACAGACGAACGGAGTCTCGGGAGAAAACCAATCCATTCCTCTGCAGAGGCTAGCTCCCCGTTTCAGGGAGTCGGGGCCGGTCACTTCTCTCATTTCTGACGTCCTCGTCAACTTCCCGGCCGGATCTCACTGTGGCGAATTTCCGCTGAGACACAAAAGAAGTCGGGTGTAGAGGCTGCGAGTGATAAAGTGATGCCCAATTCTAGAGCCTTACCGGCGCTTGTCGGCTTTCGTCACTCGGTGACTCACCGGCGTGAAGTAATTCAAGAATTGAGATTGCTTGCCTCCGCGTTCCGCCGTACGCTCCGCGAAGACGAAATGCTGTATACGGCGACGTAGCGAGCGTGGGTGATACCCCAAAACCATCCGCTTCTGCCGCGAACGTTTCATACTTCAGCTGTTCGAGCGATCGTTGGTTCCCGACGCTCCTCGCTGTTGGAAAGCTGAAAATTCAAATCTGCCAGTATCCTAGATTCTACAAATCAAACATTTTCTTGTGGATTGAGCTCGAACCTCTCGAGTGACCATGTCGAGATCCGGTAGCCCGTTTTGTGAGAGTCCTCTTCACTGGTACGACATCAAAGGTACGCATCTTGAGCTAGAGCCGGTCAATGGCGCCGGGAGATACGCAGGGTTTTTCGCCGCAATGAATCGATCTCATTTACGGTGATTCGCAGGCTTCAAGCCTCTCGGCCGGGGTTTCACGCTCCGGATCTAACCGATTTGATCAAATTCACGACACGGCGGGAGGAGATCCCCAATGAGCTCTGTGCAATCAGAAATCATGAGATGGGGGGGTCTCGAGTATGTGTTAGAAGCAATCGGTAGTATATGAATATATGACATCAGAATCGACAGGCAGGAGTTCGACGGACAGCTTCCCCCAGAGTCCAGCGAGTGATCAAACTTTCGTCGGATCCATGCAGCATAATTCTTCTGACTGAAATCTGTGAACTTCCGGAAGCAGTGCAGCTCTCCGGCTAGGGGAACGAACGTAGGACTAGGGCACCAGACGAGTGAGCGACGCTCACGTTTTTCTGAATACTCAAGTGATGGCGCATAGCGATTCGTGACAACAAGCTGGATGGACCTGTTGTTTGCGAATTATTCGTGTGGGCAGAAATCGTTCTGATGTTGTCTCCGCACAATTTATGCAATAACTTATCGCGCACCGTTTGATGACAGATGATCGCGAATAATTCTCGTGGAAACTCGCCCATTGCGGCACTCGGAAGCATTTCCAGAACTCAAGACATGGATGTCGTTTGGTGACGATCGAATCTTCTTCACTGCCGTCAAACGTCTCAATGAATATCTTTGTTCTCCTTCCAGATCCTTCAGACATCTTGACCCACGACCCTGACGATTTCATTATCGGAGATCGCGTATGGGTGAACGGGACCAAACCCGGTTACATTCAGTTCATCGGCGAGACGAAATTCGCCGCCGGTGACTGGGCTGGAATCGTGCTGGACGAGCCGATTGGAAAGAATGATGGATCTGTATCTGGTGTCCGATATTTCCAGTGTGAACCCAGACGCGGGGTGTTTGCGCGCCTTCAACGGCTCACTCGCTACCCCATGTCCGGTCATACCGGCGCCAATGATTCCACGCTTCTCCAAGAGGCTCCAGGAAAGTCCATCACTACCAGAGTGAGTTTTCAACCGTCAATTTTCACGTATGAGGAGGAACCGAAGTCGATGCAACGATCGACCGTAGCGAATGAGCTCTCGGTATTTATTCGACTCGATTTTTTCCCCTTGCAGACCGTCGTAAGGCCCTGCTCCCCAGGCGCTGTTGGTAGAGTCACTCCGACGTCTCCACCAAGAGCGGTCATCACGAACACGGAAAGCGTCGCGGTGGACCACGGCTTGAGAATCGGAGACCGCGTCATTGTGAACGCGTCATCTGGTTTCAAGAACGGTACGCTCCGCTTCATCGGAGCCACTGAATTCGCCCAAGGTCATTGGTGTGGCGTCGAGCTCGACGAGCCCGTCGGGAAAAACGATGGTTCGGTTAACGGAAAAAGGTCAGTAGCCGCCCGGGGCTGCAGCCTCGCGGAGGGAAAACTCACTGAGTAGGCATGACCTCTGCTTCGAAGAGGTTATATAGGTCACTCATCAAGGTCTCCCTGATAGAAGATAGAATATTCGAAAATCATGGATCGCGTCAAGGGTCGTTGGCTCCTACGGCCATCGGTGGACGACCGCGGCCGTTTCCTTTCCGTCTCGAGATCACCGTTGCATCCTCTCCCCAATTTTCTACTTGAGTCTAGAAAATGGCAGAGAGGGACAGGCTGAGGGTTCCCCGGCTCGGAGCGACTCGCACGTCGTGCAGCTGTGTGACGGCACTATGCCGAAGGCAGGACCTTGGTGAGAGTGTGCGGTGCCTGTGGGACTCCCGCTACGTACAAATGAGCGAGCCTGAAGGCCGTCGGCCTCGCTGCCGTCTGTGGGAGACTACGAGGCCATTGACCCGAGCCGAAGAGGCCTCGGAGGCCGGAGCTGGAGTCGATGTCCTCCGGAGCCGACCTCTCGCTCTGTCTGGCGCAGCCCTGGCTGTTTCCGAGGAGGTGCATCTCTCGTCTAGAGTCGAGACACGTTACGTCTCTGAATTCTCACGGTTCACGAATTTATCCACATGGGACGGACGGATGCGATTGAATCACGAGAGGAATCCCTGTGGTCTTTTGAGGGGGAGCCCTTCCCCAGAGCCGTGGGCGAGTTCCTAAGCTCGCGGAAAAAAAATCGATTAGCAACTATTAGAGATTCTTGGCTCGAAACGGCCGTGTTTTCGACGATGAATCCGACCTTTTTCGGAAAATGCAGAATTCTCTGCGAGGTGTCCTCCGATCCGAGCACTACTTGATTCCGTGGGCTCTGCCGAGAAGCGTGTCCTTGTCCCGGATTTCTCCTGCTGGCTTTCAGAGAGTCCTTGAGCGGCCTGCTCGGGACACTCTTTCGCCAGATATAACCTCGAACAGCCGAGTCTAGGCCAACTCTAGTCTGTTCTAGTTTTGCTTGGGCGCGGAGGAGCGTCGGGGAGGGCATCTCCGGCGCATTCTAGTTTGTGTGGTGGGTGGGGAGTTGAGTAACGTTCTGAAAGCTGTTTTGGATGACAGGCATGTGGTACATCGTTCGAAAGCTCTTGACGCGCTCCGTGCAACACGCGTCCTAGCTTTTAGATGGGATGACCGTCGGGTTCGGCATCACTGTTTCTGTAGTCTATCATTCATGCGGATTAATCACCGGACGTAATGATTCATTGAACTCACTTGCATCTGAAGTAGAATAACGAGGAAGCCAAAGCTGCCAGCGATGATTAATTATATATCGATGATAAGACCTTCGCATACCCTAGCCTGACCTCTTTGATTTATTCTATTGCAGGTACTTCGCATGTCGCTCAAAGTACGGACTGTTTGCGCCGGTGCATAAGGTCGCTCGCGAAGGAGGTCACACTACAACAACCGTGCACACAACGACTCGTACGACGAAGGTCACATCGCCTCCTCGCATGGTGACACGCACAGGTAGCCGAGAGAGTATCGCCAGTAACGTCAGTTCTACGTCAAGCCACTCGATACGCAGAAGCAAACCCCGGCTTGGGGTGACTTCTTTAGCCGCAGGGGAAAGGCATTCAGGACAGCAGTCTCAACAGCAGGGCCAGGTTTGTCGCGTGTAACAGAAAACACACAAACTTCGAGAGAAGGAAAGAACAGGAGAAAACTATACGAATCATTCGTCCAGGGCCTCCAGCACACGTACTCTCTTCTCATGTGCCCGCCTCGTCAGTGTTCCCTGTTTGATCGGTCATTTTTGTTCGGAGTACCTCATGGAAGATCATGCTTTTTAGGGTACTTCCTGCGGGTGGATTCCTCCACGAATCCGGTCGTCATTCAATCGTCGATTGATCGGTCGGTGATATCGACGGAGAAAAGCGATCGCTTCGAGGAACGCCACTCGCAGCAGAACAAAACTCTTTCGCCCATGTCCTTTGCCGCAGCGGACTCGAGCGATTTATGTGTCAAAATGTTTGTTATTCGGGGTGGAGATCAATGAGAACAACCACGAATCTCGTGAGCATGCCGATTTCATTCACGTGGGGGAAGGGAACAGAATCGGTTCCGTGGAACAAGCTCTCAAATACTCTCAAACCACACGCACGCGAAAGGCAACGCACCAGCCTAAACATTTTGAAAACGCCCTGTGAGTCTGAAGGAAGCTCTGGATTGTTGGGGGTGAATTACCGTAACCCTTCACGAGATTGGCGTCTCGGAGTCAGAGCTCCCCTTCTTTTTGTTGTCCTATGTTTTTCCTATTGATCCTAACCAAATAACAAAGCTGGAGCTCCTCGAAGGTCCCCAAGGTCGAGAGCTCTCCGCTCCCTTTCTGTAACTAACTGCAGTGGGTATAGTTTGTTCTCTTCCCTTTCACGCCGTCCCCTGTCGACACCCGAATCGCTCCACCTCACCCTGCTTCTAGCCTCATAACGTTTCCCATTATTAATTTCCGTTTCTAGATACATTCCCTTATGTTGCATTCTCATAGTTTGATTTTGATTATTTCCCTCTTCGTTTCAGTCTACTAATAAACCGCTCTCCAGTATACTCAGTCCCAATCAGGGAGTTCTGCAAGTGAGTATGCTTCGTAGGAATTTATTCATTTATTTATTTAGGTTTTTTGTTGTTTTGCTCATCCCCTCCGTTCGGAGGAGCCTCGTCTCTGGTTTTCGTGTTCTCAACGTAATCGGATGCATAATGCCATGATGGGGAAAGCTGAGATTGCACCGAATTGAGCCTCAGAAAATTCAAATCTATGTAAATGGGGCCTCCGCAAACCGCTGCATTTCGAGCTCCATTCAGTTTAGCTTTGTATCCTCAATGCCAACTCCACCATGCACCGCTAAGGTTTAAAAAAGGAAGATATTCCCATCCGAAAGCTTTCGCTTAAGTTTCACGCTGACGAACATCCAAAAGTGCGGAGATTCTCGTCAGGAGTTGTCGATTTCCAAGCTGTCATAGCACTCAATGCGCCGATAAGTCACCATAAAGTTCAACGCTGTCCACTCCGCAATAGGAGACCCCCAACTAGGAGACGTTCTCCGAGAATCGCAGGCACCACCGAGGAACCTTCATGAAAGGCATCCATCTGTCTTGATTTGACTATCGGCGGGTCGTCGATTTCTTAGCGGATCTCAAAAGGCAGCGCGAAAACTTGACCGTTTCAGGTGTATGTGGCCATGCGGGTTTCGTACATTTTCTCCAAAACTCAATGTCAAACATTCCTGGAAAGCCTTAATAGGAATCAGCTTATCTGTTCAACCTGAGGGAGAGGACTTGGAGGATACCATCGGATCACCATCCAGCAAGCGCCTGAATGCAGCTCCCGAGCCTCATTTGGCGGGTCGTTCGCTTGCTTATCTTACCGATTCTATCGATTGAGCTGCAGACATTGAAATTCGTCGATTTGCTGCAAAGGACGATGTCAGCGAGTATAAATAAAGCTAGGACACTCAGTTCTCCCCTGCGAGTTCACCTCCTCATCGCATATTTGTCACGATCTTCCCCGATCACCGCTTTGTGCCAAAAATAATTAGATAAAATATTTTTCACACCCTGCACGCGCTTCGATGAATAAGGACAGCATCTATCTCGCTACCAAGATTCCCCCCGTGCGGAAGATCGGGGGTTGATGCCTTGAAGCGGGCTCTGAACCAGATCTTGAAACGGGAAGTATAATTCCCCGATTCTGTTCCTGACTGAAATGATTCTCGCCCGGCCTCTCGACGGAACGGCAATAACCAAAATCACCTCGAATAACATGCGAGAGCCTCCGCGGGTGCACTTGAAGATCTCTGATCTTTCATCTCGTCAGAAGCCCCGTAGAATACTGCTCATAGAATCCCGGTCAGAGAGCTCCAGGTAGAATCGCTTACTCGCTGGCGCTTCCACTCTATTATCGGAGCTGATCCAACAGCCATTCCTGGGCTAACTCGATCGCAAGAATAAACACAGAGTTTATTTGGAAGTTGATCAAGCGAGCCGATCACCCGTAGAGCATTTTGGCTCCATCCACCCACCCAGTGTCGCCCACATCGGGAACGCCTCGCGAGAAGAAAATCCGAACGGGAGGTCAGAATCGATGGATCTGACTTCCAGTCGGTTCGTTACTTCGATCTTCGAGCTGCCCAATCGTTTCGTTCATCCTGCCAGTTAGTCCGATCGCAATGATAACCTTCAAAGGTGCCGATCAAGACCGAATGCTCGAGTTTCTGGATATGAGAAACTGCGAGACTGCAGTATTTATTTTCCAATCGATGTCCATCCGCGTAATCATTGCCGGAGGATGTTGACTCGCGCAATCAGATCTTCCGAACAGCTGATACGCGCTTCAGAACCGACCACGCACCCAGGGTCTGTCTCCTGGGAACTCACCACTCCTTGTACTCGTGACACGTTTCACACGTTGAACCCGGTATGTTGTGGACGGGGAAATGATTTTCTGAGGATTCCGCTTAGTCAGTCATGGCTTCCTGCCTTACCAGGAGGCTCAAAAAGCATCCCACGCCTCAGCGAAATCCTTTCCAAGTAGAGGGGAAACGAGCTGCTGAAAAAGTAGTGGCGTGCGGAGCTCGAACTCTCGTGTTTGATCCTTGGATCGGGGATATCTTCACTCCAGGCCGCTCCGTTTTCCTGAAAGTTTCGCTCCCGCGCGCTCCGCCCGCAGGCCGAGCCGCGGGCTACACTAGAAGCTCCTGGAAATTTTCGCCCGCGTCGCTAGTGTTGTCATCTAGCGACAAACTTTGCGGGGGCGTGCTGCCCAAGCGAAGCGTATGCGCTCTTTCTCCTTACGTCCGTTCCGTGGCGGTCCCTCAAGAGCCACCAACACTGCTACGCTGAATCATAGTCGGTGTTCTGCTGCGTACTTTTGTCCCAGTGCTCGATTCTCCACTGAAATCGCACGCTCGATACATAACGCATTCAGACGCTAGTTCTAGACCTCTGAACTTGGTGTTGAGGCCGAATCCGATTCCACGCGGTGACGCGCGAGTTCAGCTCCAGAAGTCCATCGGAGGCTTCATTCTTTGATCCGAGGTGACAGTGCAGTGCATTCAACATGCCGTTCGACTCTGATTCGATGCGGAGGAGCTTCCGATTCAAGCCAATGGTGGGTTCTGAGGCGGAGAGCAATTGATCGAGTGACACGGATACCTGGATGAGTTTTGACTGAATTCAAGATGCGGATGAAATTCTATCCGGCGCTTCTAATCTGCTCTTCAACCCTCGCGCTCCTCGACTCGTGAAGTTTTGCCCGTATCGGTCACCGGCTCTCTTGAATTCAGGAGTTCTCAAAAACATGTCCGGACGTCTGAGTCCTGCGGCTCTGTCGGTCAATGGGATCGGAAAGTAGCGTTATTCGGTGGGTGGTTGTAGTTTGTTGACACACCCGGAACGCCGCCTCGGCTTTTGCGGTCCGCCAACCGCGATCGGTCGCTTCGAATACGCGAAACTCTGACATTCTTTAGTACGCGGCTTCACGACTCAATCCGTACACTTTGTTCATGATCTGGTGAAGTGCTTGGACCTCAGCTCTTCTAATTAGTCGTGAAGTCCTCTTGTTCCGGAGGATGCATATCGCGATTCCGCCATCGGTCTCGGTGAATCGAGAGGTTTAGCGGAGCGAGCGGAGGAAAAACGATCATGGCCAGCATCTCGGAGTGGACGTTTTTCAGAGAATTCACCGATCAAATCTGGGTGGGTAGAATCGTCCAGAGGACATCCTCCATGTCCCCGTGTTTGTTGTTTCGGTTTGAGTCAATTGTCAAGCCTAGGAGAATTGACAAGGTCGGCTTGAGTAGCATAGACAATCGAAAGATTAGGATTCAACTTCCCGATTGCTCGTGCTCAATCGGTTTTTCACGAGACATTTGTCCCGTCTGTGAACTCGTCGGTGAGGTGATTCGGGAACTTCATGATCAGACCATACTATTCCACTGACCATGTATCCGCCCGAAATCACTCGTACAGCTAGTCGTTCGCTACGACCTTGACAACATTTCGGGAGTCCGTATTCGGATCGGCCTTGTCTACAGGCCATACTAGCTTGACACATTCTGGTTCTGGTGCTTCAATTAATGGAATAGCGATAAAATATCAATAGAGAGTACTCGATCCCATCGACGGCGGGTCGTCTGCCAAGGCTGGCTTCGGCGCATCGTTACTATTGCGGAAACGCCGTGGAGTTTCCTCGAAAATGTTTTTCGTTTGCGCCTGGAATGCGAGAACCACTCCGAGTTCGCGGCTCGAATGGGAGAGAAAATTTTCGATCTTGAGCCTCTGTGGATCCGGTGATTGAGAGGTTGATCGGACTCAGAGGATTCAAACAAAAAACCCTTCGCTTCCAGGATGCACTACGCGAGAAAGAGGAGCACATCGAGCAGCTGCTCAAAGAGCGAGATCTTGAGCAGACCGAAATCGCCAGGGTCACGGCTCATATGGAAGAAACGGAAGCGAAGCTCGACGCGCTCAGAGGTGAGGGCTCCCTCTGTGTCCTGGAAGCGCGGTACTTCGATATTTCGAATGACTTTCGATGGCTGAAAAAAATGCTCTTGTTTCAGCGGAATACGCGAAAGCAACCGAGGCCTCTGCCGAAGAGAGAGATGCCCTCAAGAAACAGCTCAAACAAGCTGAGAGGGAATGCGACGAGTTGAACAGGAAAATCGAGGATCTCCAGTTCGCGCTCGAAGAAATCGAGATCAACAAAGCTGATGCCGATCAAGAACGGAAAAACCTGCTGGAGAAAGTGGCTGACTTGGAAAAGATGCTGCAAAGTGGAGCTGATGCGAAGTCGCCCGAAGGTCAAGCGAACCTCAAACTCGTTGAGATTGAAGCCAAACACCGGAAAGAAATCGATGAGTACAAAAGGAGACTCGAAGATTCTCATGGCGAAATCAAAGCTTTCAGAGATTCTGTTGTGAGTTTCGGTGAATCTTTTTTCATTCCCGTCCTTCTGTATCACAGCGCCCCTCGATGTACTTTGTTCTTCCGTCAGTCATATGTTCCCCGTTCACAGGATGTGGAGAAGCGCGCACATAAAGAAATCGAGAAAACGATATCCGCAAAAGACGCGCAACTGAAATCGTGCGATGCCGAGCTCGTAAAGACCAGGAAAACTTGCGAGGAGCTCCGAGGTCGGGTGGAACAACTCGAGAATGAGCTCTTCGAAATGGCGGAGAAGAGCCAAGAGGTCAAGGGCGAAGAGATCGAAGAGCTCCGAAAACAGCTCAGAGGTAAGTCGCTCAAGAGGCTCCCGGGAAAGAATCTCCGGAATTCTGGTGGCCTTAGGATCCAGAATTTCCTCCTATGTATGCACGGAACGCATCCGAGTCATGTTTACTGCTTCGTACTGATTCTGGTTCTCTCTTCCCGGGCAGACGGCGAGAAGAAGTTGATCGAGGAGCGCCAGTCCTTGCTTAAGACTCAGAAAGAAAGGACCGACCTTCTAGCACAGTGCGACATTTTTGAACGTCAAGTGAAGGACATTCAGAAGCAAAATGACGACTACCGAGAAGAGCTCAACAGAGCCAGTGAACAAGGAGGTCAACTCACGACGAAGCTCGAGGGCGAAATTGAAGTTCTCAAGAAGAAATTGAGAGGTCAGTTTCTGATCGATCGGAGGAATGAGAACTCGCCGCTGTGTACATTGCAGACCTTTGTCGATTGAGTCTATGATCCTTTCAAGAGAATAGCATGTCTCATTCCAGACGCGGATGCCTCGCTCAATCAAGAAAGAAACTTGAAGGCGGAAATATTAGACAAGAAGGACAACTTGGAATTCCAAGTGGCGGAATCGTCTTCAAAACTGGAGGAACTTGAGAAGAGTTTAAGAACATCGAAAAATTACGTGGAGCAGCTTGAAGAGGAGAAGAGAAATTTGAAGGCTGAAGTCGAGTCTCTGATTAGAGAAGCCTCTGAGAAAGAGTTCAAGGCTTTGAGCTCCGAGAAAACTTCAGATGGTCTCCTGCAAGGTAAGAAAGGCTCGACTGGGAGAAGCCTGGTTTAAGCTCTGCCTCCAGGAGCTATCTTGGAACTCGGGAGGAAAGGTCGCTTTTATAAATAGGAATCGTTTGCAGAAAAAATTGCCGAAGCCGAGAGCTACCGGTCCCAAATTAGCGAACGCGATGACAAGATCTCCCAATTGTCCCGGTCGCTGAATGAGAGTCAGCAAGAAGCGACTTCCCTCGGCAACGAATTGGACTCTATACGGTCCAAACTCGAGTCCGAAAGAAGGAACTCTGAGACTGCTCTCAAGAAAGGTTAGACCCCGCGAGGGAAGGTCCTGCCCCCTTCCCCTCTCCAGGTCCCCCCGGGAAGGGAAATCTGAATTTTCGATGAGATCTTCAGAAGGAATTGGAGAGTCTAAGATAAGGGACCCCTATTGCATCTATAAAAACAGAGTATTTTTTGCAGCCGAGCACGAATGTCAATCAATGCGATTCGAACTGGAGAACACATCAGAGTCATTGAAAACGGAACTCGATAATCTGAAGAAGCTCTACGACCAATCTTTGAAAGACGCCGACATGTCCCGGAAAAAACTCAAGGCCAACGAGGAAGAACGGAACGATCTTCAAGCGAAAATTTCGAAACTCGTCTGCGACCTCGAAAACGCTCGTAGCACCAAAGACGTCGTTCACGGTGAAATGTCAGAGCTTCGAAAGGAGATCAGCGATCTCAAACTGAAGGTTTGTGAGGTCGAGAACGCGAAGTCAACGGCTGTCCGCGAAATGGAACGCGAGAAAGAAAGATGCCGCAGCCTCGAGCAGAAACTCGCGAACTCGGAAGCTATGATGAACCGGGAGCAGGGCGATGCTAAGAGGCGGATAGAAGATTTGGAGGAACGTCTGGACAAAGCCCAGAATCTCCATCGAACGCTGAATGACGAACATCTCTCGAAGAACCTTAAGTCGACGAACGAAATCAACGAGCTTCGAGATTGCATCAGGAACTTGAAAGATAATTTATCAGGTGAGATGGACTTCTTCACGAGCGGGATCCCACGCCGGAATGCTTCGAGCTCTCCATTTCACCCAGGGTTCCGGACACCATTCTGCGCGGTAAACAAGCCAGGAAAATTCTATCAGATTCGGCTGGATTGCTATTCGTTTCAGATCTGGAACGCCAAATCGCAGAAGCACGTCGTAATGACGACAGTCTCCGCAGTGCCAATGACAGATTGAAAAACGAATTGGAGTCTCTGAATCGAATGGTTGCTGCCGGTGACTCTGAACGCGAGCGTCAAATGGATCGATTGTTCGACGAGAAGCGTTCCAACGAAAATAAGCTCCAGACCGAACTCGATAACGCGCTCAGCGAGGTTGAGCGACTCCGGAGAGCTCTCGACGACGAGCGTCATCGATTCGAGGACCTGGTAAGTGACTCATGTTGTCGAGCTCTATCCTCTCGGAATCCGCCTCGGACGATTTCCGCGCTGACTTCGAGACATTCCGGATAGCTTGATTTTAGGGGAATATACTTTCCTATTCCAGAAAACCGAAGTCAATATCAAATCGGACAAGCTCAACCGTGCGGAAGAGCTCATCCATAAGAACGAAGCAGAGAGGAAAGAGCAAGTTCTGAATTTCAAAAGCCAAATGGAAAACCTACGCAGCGAATTCGACCGATACAGACGGACGCTCGAGGAGAACCTCGAAGAGACGAAGCTCACCTCCTCCCATATGTAAGCGGCAAACCGATCGACTGATCAGACCCACTATCGTGCACGGAATCCTGAGGCCAATTCGTACCGATGATATGAGAGTGGGAGCGAATCGACAGATTGAAAAGCGGGAAAAGCTGCTTGAGTCTGATTGAGATTTTTCTCTTGCAGCGAGGGCCAGCGTGAGGTTGTCGAGGAGCTCCACAGGCAGCTGTCTCTTAGAGAAGTCGAAGCCCAACAGAAAGGGTCCGAAAATGCTACCCTGCTCTTGCGCATCGAGGATCTTGAAAGAAGGTCAGTTGCACATTCGATACCCGTTACTTCTCGTTTTGACGTGATCCCGTCAATTATCATGTGTGAGGGGTATCCGGAACCGCTCAATAATCACACATGATAAGATGGGGATCCCTCCCAAAAGACTCTGCTCGGATTTGGGTAGGCCCCTTTTTCCAGTCAGGCAGTTCTGGCGCGAAAAAGGCGAACGGAGCAGTACTGTCACTTGAAAAACACAGAAGCACATCGCTGCACTTGCATTCGATGCGAAACCCTTCCTGTGGGAAGTCTCGGCGTGTTGCCGCTCGACTTCCCTCACCCTAAGAAAGGAAAAAAACCCGAGCTGATAGCATCGATAATAATCTACACAGAGATTATTATGACCGACATGAGCCATGGACCTGTATCATACGCTCAGAGACTCCTTTCGATAAAACTATTCGGATATCTCCAGACTAGGGATGGTGAGAGACTCACGATGGACGAGACACAATTTGTCAAGACTTCAGAAAACTCAAGCCGACACGCTCTTCAACAGAAGACTGTTCAGCTCCTGAATTCCGTGGAATCCTGGCTTGACAATGGCTTGGGGCCGGAAGGGCTCGCTTATTACTAATCCGCTTGTCGGTCGGAGGAGTTTTCCTTTCCCCCTCTCTGTCTTCTTCTCGAGAGGGAGGAAGTCCTAAAAAAAACGATGAAGCAGCTCGAGGAAGGGCTCGCTTATTACTAATCCTCTTGTCGGTCGGAGGAGTTTTCCTTTCCCCCTCTCTGCCTTCTCGAGAGGGAGGAAGTCCTCTAAAAAAAGATGAAGCAGCTCAGTCCCTGCATAAGACACTCCGCGCTTATTTAGCTCACACTAGGGCCCTGGGCTCAGACTCACATGTCCTTTCGAAGGAAACGGAAATCCCACGGAAGGCTGCTAGAGGCTAGAGCACTCAAGTCAAATACTTGCCTTTCAGCAACAATCATTTTATAATTGGCATTGTTGCATATTTTTTCGTTTGGTTCATTTGGCATTTTATGATCTGAAGCCATAACGCTCCACGCAGACACAATATGCAGGCACGCTTAGCGAGAGGGAGAAATCAGCATAATCCGCATTAATGTGGGTCAAGCCCGTTTACGTTTTCTCTGTTTCGGCCTCCCTTCCGAAGAATATCCGTGTCGAGGAAACCTGGTCAACATTGACGAGACAGTATCCCTCCACATGAATCTGTTGCGAAAGCTCACGGCTTCCGAATGCTTCGACGCCTCTTTACTCTCATTATCTACACCGGCTCAGACATTTGGTCCTCCCTTTTCTTTCGCCTTGCCGAGCCTCGAATATTATTTTTTTGATTCCTTCCGGATCTCACTCAATACCTGCTTATCGATGCTTGGCCTAAGGTGTCGGTTGGGGGAATGAAGGGAAATCTTTTGTTGATTTATGGAATAATTTTTGAATAATTTCCGCGTTTATTGAGGAGAAATCGTAGTTCCTGCCATATTTTGCTAATTTCGTTTAACTCGACGCCTCTCAACTTTAATCATCGGTGTGCTCGTAACCAGGAATCAGAGCCTCGTCAAAGAAACCTCTCGACTCGAATCTGTGACTCGGTCGTCGCGATCCCGCTCTAAGGTGAGTTTTCATCTTGAAGCTCCTCCAGGATCAAGAGTCAAGGGGTGATAGATTGAGTCTCAAATCATCATGGACCAATCAGCCAGAAAAACAATGAGAATCCGTCAATTGCAGTCTCCAACGGGTGATGATGACAACTCAAGACGCATACTCGAGGAGAAAGATTCCCAAATCGACTTCCTCAACTCAATTATCGTCGACATGCAACGAAAGAATGACGACTTCAGGGCTCGCATTCAGATCCTGGAAACGACTCCGGACGAGTTCAAAACAGCGGTCAATTCACTGTATGTTGAAGGAATTTATTTTTCCATCGGATATCAACGTTTCCCCCCCTAGCCGAATTCCAAGATGTTCCGATCCGTCGATCCTGGTCACAGGCGGAAGGTCTCACAAACCGATTTTTCGTTGCAGCTCCAAAAACGGAAGAGTGAAAACCGTGCGGCCGCCGAGACTATTCTGCGATATCTGCGAAGTTTTCGACCGACACGACACCGACGACTGCCCGCAGCAGGCTTCGGAGGCCGTGGATCATTCGAAGAACCAAGGAGGTCGAGGGCCGTCGAACAGACCTTATTGTGACAACTGTGAAACCTTTGGGCATGACGCTTCCAAATGTGAAATCGAAGAGTATTGAGAAGGGAAATTCAGTCATGGATGAGTGATCGATCGCGTCCGCGAAAATCTCCATTTGGGTCAGATGTCTCACCTCGATCCTCGGAGCAACAAAGTTTTATATATTATGTATTCCTGAGGATGGGCTTCATGCGTCATTCACGGCCGTGTTGCAAATACTCTGCTTTGCAATCATGACATTCATGAGGATATATCCTCCTTTTTGGAAAAGAAAAAACACGACATCGATGGAGACACATTCTCATTCGTAAAGAAGCCAAAATTCAGGGTCCCGAGCCAGTGAATTCTACATCGGGCCGGCAGGGTACGACTGCAGTCCTATGTTTTCCCTGAAAACGGGAGACTCTTACGCGGAATAGAGCACAGAGTAGACTGTTTGCTCGCGTTTTCTTAAAGTTCAGTCAATCCATTCGGTGAAGCACCTGTCTGTCATTCCCTGTTGATTTCGAACATCGACTGAGCTTGTTCAGGCATTTTTAACCACCAAGTCTTATATGTGCTTTAAGGAATAAAGTAGTCAGCATTTTTCTGATTTTCCTCTCGTTTGCTTGTTCGTGCCTAACGTGAACTTCAATGAGTATCGATGTACCGGTCGACGATGAGTCGAATGCCTTCTTAGGAATAAGAGAAGGAGCTATTTGGTCGATGCAACACTCTGTGTACTACATTGATTTGGATTCTTCGAATGTCTCGAGATGATGGCCCTATACCGGAAATCATGATGTTTTACACGGGAGAATATATTCAGATTATAGCACTTCAAAATGTACATTTGTGGAAAATCTTAAGTACCGATGCTATTGAGGAGTTCCAAGAACCTGAGGAGCAAAGACGAATCGATTCGCACCCTCCTCGACGGAACACGAAAATAAACGCGGATCTTGCGACCAAAATTTCGCTTGACTTCCCGAGAAGACGATACGAAGAGAATATGGAATTTCCCTCGCAGGTCGAGAAATCAATCGGGACGAGAATATGACCGCGAAGACTCTCATGCTCATCACGTACTCCGGCGCGGCGCGTTTTGCCAACAGCTGCCCTATGGGCTCCTAATTCACACGATGCCGATTGAATCGAAGGAAAGGAGCCCCATACGATTTTCTTCCTGAGACGGTCTCATTTATTCATCATCCATCGGGGAATCCGGGGATCGGGCCCCACATCGATCGAGCACTTTTTCCCTCGGAGCCTCCGTCGGGGAGTGTCTCCCGTGGTTTCCGATCGGGTTCATATTCCTACTGCATCACAGGGTCATTCCGGCTCTTGATCGTCATCTATGTCTGGCTCGTCGATCCCCACACATCCGTGTTTCCTATCTCCTCCAACCCGAGCCTCAGAGACTTAGCGATGGGTTGTGCCATCGAGTATGTACATTTTATTTACAACAGCCTCTTGCGGACGCTACCAATGTGCGATTCGATTCATGTTCGCTTGGATCCGTACAGGGAGCATTTACGCTCCACGTCGCCGAATAGCAGCCAGCGGATCTGTGAAGATTTGATTATTGGCTTTATGGCAAGTTTCAAAAATCACCCTTGCGTCTTGGAGCTCCTTGACCGGCGCGAGACGAAATGGAAGCGATGACTTGTCTCCTCTGCATGGTGCCGGCCATCGCCGCTTCTGTCATCAGTTGAACTTCGGGGTTAAGCTGTCGGGTGCGGAGATATAATCCCCCGATGGTTAGAAGCAAAGCGATCAACAGAAGAACACCCAACGACCCGCAGAACAAGAAACCAGTGGTCGAAACGCATAGCTGATTCGACGAATTCATAATGACGACTGGTCCTCCCCTGTGGTTCTGATTATTCAACACCTTCACTGTGTTCAAAGGTCCGGGAACTTCTTCAGGAGCGTCTTCGGGAGCGATGACCCGGATACCTCTCATGAGATGAGCGCTCTCCGATACATCCGAGGGCGTTTCTGCGTTACCGTCCTCCGGTTCTGCTCCGCTTTGGGCTTGCCGTCTCAATCGAACCACGAGCTTTTCGGTGGAGTTCGAGCCGTGGATTCTCTCGCGCCGTCTACGCAGACGCGCTTTCTTGGCCTCGAGGCACTGCAGCTCGTCGTGGTGGCATTGGTATTTGCAGATCTCGATGTTGCACTCGAGGAAAACTTCGAGTTTATCCGGAAACTTGAAAGCCTCGATGTAAGCCCACGCGATCGCCGAAGCGCCGGTGTTCGAGGTCTCTCGGGTTTTCTGCCAAGGCCCCATGACCTTCGGTTTGCTGACGCATCCGTTCTTGTTGCTGAGCTGTATCGCATTGTTGATGTCTCCGTCATGCGCGAGGCAGTCGGCAACGTGAACATCGTAATCGTCCCCGTGGATGTACACGACCAGGGTTAGAGTTTCACCGATCTTGACGGGACCGTTCACGGGGTTTGCGTTGAAGGGACCTTTGCCCAGTTGGACATCCATGTAAGAGTCAATCGAGTCACCAGAGTACGTAACCGAAATCACATCCAGCACGTCAACCGAGAGCGAGGATGACACGGTTCTCGTGATGTTTTCTTTCTCGAAACGACAACGCAGAGCTCTAGCGGTATCCGTCACGGCCTGAAACCAAGATTAGGTGAAGCGGGCTCGAGGAAAATGTTCGTTCGGGCGGGAGACCTACTCCCATGGTTGGATTGATTCCGACGCTAAAATCCGCCTCTGAAGGGAGCTCTGATACCCCGAAACCTCTCCAGGGTGGCGGTGAACCATTCCAATCGCTTTCGCTCGAGAAGCGTCCGGGGACGGAACAATTCGTCAGGCTCGGAAATTCTCACCTGGATTCCTGGAGTATGCTGGACAATCACGGTGTTCTCGAGGAACGCTTCCCCTTTGGACCCGTCGACGATTTTGGATCCGCAGCGATGTCCTTGCACGCTGAATCTCCTTCGATTTGGTTCGTTCCCTACAGTGCTGTATCGACATTGCAGGTCCGAGTAATGGCCTTTCGAATAGATGATCCCTTCAGAAAAAAAGCGGTTGATTACTTCACGAGTCACGATCGAACAATGACAAGTCAGAATCATTCGCGAACCCCGGTTTCAACGAAACAACTACAACTCATCCATCAATGGATAGTTGGTCCGGGTGATCATGATGCGACTTCCATTGAGCTGCTAGAAGTTCTGAAAGAGTCCGCTGTCGCTGGAAGTTCCCTCGTGACACAGAAGTTGATGGAAAACGTTCGTGAGAAGGCAAATTATTTCGATGGTCGACGTGATGAATATCCATGTCGGTTGTGAATCAAAAATTCCCCGATCCATCGTACGTGGATCTAGTCGTCGTCCGGATCGTCTCTTTTCACTCTGCTATAATGACCGCGCAATGACAGACACCCTTAACCCTTCCGAATCGGGAATTATACGCCGAGTCACGGTCGTATACATACACTCCCGAATCGCTTACGCTCAATGCTGGACAGCGATATTTCTTCCGACATTACGGAGTCCCGCTCGCACTGACAATAGTTTCTTTTGTGAGGATCTCATCGGAAAGTTCTATTCAGACGCTGTGGATCAGACAGCGGTTTCAGTGATGAGAATTACGGCTCGTAAACTTCTCGAAGCTTCACGCTTACGGAGATAATCGGCCATTCGTCCCCAAACCGTAGGTGCATCTCTTGCGCTGAGGCTAAATGTGCTGCTGGGAAAGGTTTCTTCGATGCTTGATAAGCGGAGTTCTCTTCCTGCTCAGTGGAATTCCGTGGGGCTCCGCCGGGAACCCTTCGAAGCGATCTCAATCTGAGGCGGAAGCTCGGGGCATACGAAGTTGGTCACCACTGACAAGGTCGCAGCTGCTGCACGCCCAAAACATTTCTGCATCCCATCGTTCGACATCGAGCTGTCGGGGCAGGATGGCTGCCGGACACCTCAATTCTTCCTATCTCGTTCCGCCCTACGACTGGCAAGGTCTACCTCGGGAGGAATATCCGAGGCCCCTCTTCTACGGAAGACACCGTTTCCGGCAATCTTCGTCCTGAGTAAGATCATACCTACGTATGTGTTAACCTTCCGAAGTCAAACGAAGCATGGAGCGAGCTCACGGAAATGTATGGAACAGCTTCTCGTAACGGCAACGAGCTTCGGCCACAATGGAGGCCTCTTCGCGGCTCTTCATCGAGCGATTGTCACTTGTGTTTGCACCAGGTGAACAACACTCGATTGAATGGTCAGTCGGGCGGTCGGTCGGTCGGTCGGCCGACAAACGATCTTGCCACTGTTCTGAGCTGCGGTCTGTTTGATTGCCACTCCTCAATGTCTTCGCGGAACGAATTCATACTACCGATCACGCTCCGAGGCTTTCTCGGAAATCGCCGAATGAGGCAGAGAGGTTACGCTGCGGGTATGGAATGAACGCATGAAAAACTCTTAGATCATGACGCCTTCGAGCGAGGCATCTAATGGGCAGAATGCCGAGCAGTTTTCGGTGTATTAGCGGTGTCTCAACGTGATAAACTTTGATGCTTCAGCTCTCTTTCCTGAACAATGACAACCGAATTTCCTGGCCGCAAGCTCGTGCAGATCGCTGGGCCGTAATCGTGAATAGCTACTTTCTATTACGTATTGTCGGGGTATTTTTGTAAGCTGGTGACAGCTGGTCGCAAGCGATTCGACCTTCACGGACCTCGACTGAATGCGGAGTAGCTCAGTCGGAAAAATCTCGGTCATCCACAGCTCTTCCGAAATTGTGCACGCAATCTCGGCTCGGATCCAGCGCCGTGCGCTGTCTGGAGGAGTTTCCTCCGAGATCGTTCGATACATAGCACCTCCACCTCTGGAAACGAGCAAAGTTGCCGACTATTATAAGAGCAAGCTCACCGTTGAAAGGACTATCAAAATTCATCGTGATTTCCATCACGTTTTTGCCGCATTGAACCTGGACGTCGAGAAGGGTCGCAACCGACAAATCCTGATCCGGTAAGTAAAGATCGTCATCTTCGTGTAAATTCGTTTTGATCGCAGGATGCCGTGTGGTCAAAGACCCGGAGTTGGCCGCGGCGAATGACGATACTATAGCCACTGGAAGCGAAAAAAATTTCCCAATTTGAGATGGGGGCTCGACAAATCTGGAGAAAGAACGATACGTAAATCGGAATCTCGATCGGATAAGGAGTATTGCACACTCACGTTGATCCTTGCGAGACAGGAGTGCGGGATGGGGACGTTTACCCGCCGGGAGCTGCTTGCTGAACCGCGTTCTAACAATGCTCGCACGAAGATCGTTCTCGGCGACATTTACCTGAAACTTTTTGAACGGGTTTTTCTTCGCTGGTCTACCGCGGTTTTCAGATCGATTGCGGAAAAAAAAACAAGATGATGTTTTTCTTCCTGTGCCATTCAAACATTAAGAAAGGGGAAACGTCAGAAAGGCGGTCTGGAAAATTGTGTCAGATGGTTTTACTCGTTGACTTGTCCGAAAGAGAATCGTTGGTGACGCGCGCCCTATCGTTGGAATGAAACCTAGCCGCAAAAAGTTGCTTCGGCGAAGGCTTAATCGCTCGCTATCGTGCATTTTGAAGCAAAGCTCATTGTCGACATTGGCTTCGACGGTCCCAGCAGCGCGCTACACTAGAGACCTTTGTGCTTAATGTTGCGATCATCGAGAGAACTCGACGGCCTTAGCTCAATGTGACCTATGCGTTTCCTATGTTTAGAATTTTTTTCATCGCTGTCCCCTGGTTGACTAGCCTCCCAGGTCCAGCATGCTTCCGCCAACTCTTGGGGGTCGATCCGAGTTCGAATGAGATACGGGAGCCCTTTGAAAACACGCGTGTCGACTCACAGAAATGAAACTCATTGGAGCATCGTCAAGCCGAGGAGCTCATTTTTGCCCATATGGGGCATTTTTTTTCTATTTTCTCCCTTGCACACTTTGAAGGATGGCGTTTCCATTCTTCCCGCCCGACTCAAATCTGATTGAAACCTTTTCACAAAGCGTCACTTTGCCAGTGAACTTTTTCCGCGAGAAAAATATCCGTATGTCAGGAAAATCAAAACTGTCGTCGGCCCCCATGAAGTGAAACGGATTTTCAGTCGAGTACCACCGCCTCTAGGCGAACCGCATCGAATTGAAGGAACATGAAGGAAGACAAAGGGAAATAATGAATAAGGATTACAAGGGATGCGATGCGTTGTCTGATGCGAAATCTTGTGGTGACGTCACACACTGAAGATGGCAAGATAGAAAAAACGAAACGAATACATCATGAAGATTCGCAACGCCATCGCATCGTCAAGTATTATGTATTCGTCAATCGGCGCAAAGGTGAACTTCATCAGGGGAAAAAGTCATACTTTGTCCGATGACATCCCGAATTTCGACCGCGAAGCAGATTGTCCGACAGTGCTAGCACTGACAAAAAAAGGTTCCCATGAGTTTCGCCTTCCACGAGAATATCTCGGGTGTCGATGGATATCCCAGTATGTCGGAATGATTCAAGAATGGTACGCCGGTGCGAGAGTTCCGTAGGCAGCAGCAAGAAGACATCACGTCCGGAACCATTCACATGGAGGAGATACCGTATTTATTCTAATAGAATGGCATGCTCCAATTACCGGCATGCTCCAGTAGAACGGCACCCGTATGAGATTTCGGAAAACAGAGCGGCATGCTCCAATAGTACGGCATGCTCTAATGCAACGGCAGGGGAAAATGACTTGAGGGAAGGTGGTATAAGTTCTTAGATTCCGTGAAGATATCAAGGGTATACAAAACGATTCATCGTTAGTGAAGGCAGAGATCGTTTGAATACTCATTTTTGGAAAAAACACGGGTAAGCTCTATCAGCTCTAACAGGGACCGCCCATCCGATGCGGGATCGAAAAATAGAGCGGCATGCTCCAATAGACCGATGCCTGATGAGGGGATCGAAAAATAGAACGGCATGCCACTCTATTGGAATAAATAGGTAAGTACAAATGATCGAAGAAAATTCTATACATGGTCGATTCGGATGCTCAGCACTTAGCTAGTGCACGCATCAGTAGGACTTGCATAGTTTACCTGGATGCAAAATACGAGTTGCAGGAATAGAAGTCGGCGACCGGTCCCCCCCATGGCCGCGGTTTTCTTCAGGAGGTTTTCATTCTGAAACGGAAAGAGAATTTCATGAGCTCGTTGTTCTCGGCACGTCGCCGATTCTTAAACGTTTGCAGTCGAGCAAGAGGAGACATATAGTCTTCTCCTTCAACGCTTTGTTTAATCACTCGTTTTCGTTTGTTCCCCGTCGAGCTGGCGAAACATTATCTGTACAGTCAGCATGAGTGCCACGTTCGATGGAGATGGAAGCCGCTGTCACGCCCGGTCCATCCCGGCCGGGGCCCGGGTGAGGGGCAACACGCATTTGACAGATCGTCGCTGGCAGAGCTCTTAGATGTTTAGGCTTGATGACCAGCTCCGCATGAAGACTTGTTCAGAGCGACATGGGGAAGCTAAGACTTATTAAAAAAGACTGCATCTGTGGACCCAAAATCTGCTGTCGCGCGGGATCATGTTTCAAGTAAACTCATTTCGAGTAAATTCGGGAAGACTAAGACTGCGGAAACGAATATGCACAGTGCGAAGGTGTTTCTCCCGCGCCTCAATGAAGCGAGCTAGTTGGAACGAGGCTCGGGTATACCTCGTTTCTTCACAGACGGAGCAGATCATTTCGCGAAGTTCCTTAGGGTCGGCTGAATGTCTCTGGGTATGTCAACCGGAGGCACCCCATCTCATGAGACATCGATAACTCGATAATCGGGGAGCTCCGGAGCGCCTCGGTTGGGTCGCAGGCGATGCCGGGCCACTTCACTTGAGTGAGTCCGAGGTTTTCTTACGAAAACCTCGCCGAAAAGAGACTGAATGTTTCAGCGGGAGCAAGAACGCCGCACGAGCCAGTTTCTCGAGCTTTTTCCGCGGCTCAGCGATATGAGAGGGGAATTTCGAGACGTCAACATGAAGGAAGAGCAATATTCATCACCCTTAATGAGTCGTCATGATTCGTGAAGAGTGTCGTCGCCGTCTTCGATCGTCTCAATTAGTGCTGATCACGATCGTACTGAATAATACGCTGGTGATTGGTCAGGAATGTTCCGTTCCCACGTCGCGTTGGTAGAAGGTATCGACTGGGAAGACGCAACCCATGATCGCAACGGTTCCGCCATCTGATTGACGTTCCAAAGAACTTGGTTTCGACATGAATTTCCGGCGGATCGTCTTTGTTCCCGAGAACTTCTGCACGCGTCACTCTGATAAGCTCCTGAAGTGACGTTGACGATTCGAGAAGAGGGACTGTGAAGTTTCCCGACGAGAGAAGATCATCCTCATTCCAGCGGCGCGTCAGATCCCTTTCAGTAGCTCTTTTGACGATGCCAGCTGGTCGCAACATTCGGGGCTGTGGCTGCCGCAGCACTGATGCAACTTGCCTAACAATAATTGCAGAGTCTCGTCGGCGGAATAACTCAATTACATAGATAAGAGACGCCTTCAGCAGGAAACCGACGATAAATGACTCCTTTCTCTGAATCAAGCAGGAAGCTCCCGGAGGAGCTGATCGATGAGTTCAGTCGCTTGCTGTCTGGCACAGAGAGACAAGACGAGCTGCCGGTGGATTGACGAGTCGATTTGGCTAGAATCGGTGTTTGGATATCTCAGTTTTTCTGATAGAAACTCATGGCGCTCGAGTCTTCGTTTTGACTCAGTCAGTCGATTGCGGTCCTGTACCGTATACCTCGCATGGCACGCGGCTCGCGAGCGAGGGTGAGCTCACCGATCGAGGATAAAAAAAAGAAAATGGTTACGGCTGACTGAGGCTACGTCTTTTTACGGCATATTTTATGGAACGTTTTTCGCTAAGTTAAAAACCCACACTTCGGCAGTTCCAATATCGACCGAAATGACTTTGAAGCTTGGTAATCGCGACGCGAAGGAGGAAAAAAGAATGAGAGGGAAAGTTCAGTAAAGATTCCGCTCAAGCTTCGGGTACTGCCAAAGTTTGTGGTGAGGCTGGGGCGTCCCGGGTCGTGTGAGGGCCACGCAGAACAAACACCTCGCGGAGAATTCCATCGGCGGAGGGCTTCCACGTGGTGAAACTCACAACGTGAAAGTTTCGCATGACTCCGGTTACAGGCCGGATCGGAGAAGTCACCATAAAACGCTTCGGTGACCTCTCCGCTCAGTCTAAGCATGCAAGCTTGCGTCTCATGGCTTTCAGAGGCTGCTCTGGAACGAAATCGCTCCGTACATCCCTTCCGACTCCGGTTAATTGCCGAAAAAGCAACGACGATCGGCCGTTCCTTATTTTTCTCAATTTGAGCGATGCCGCAGTTAGAGCAATAGCTCTTCGAGGGCGGAGTGGTTGCAGGGGAACATGGGGCTGTGAGGCTACTGAGGATTAGCTACCCTTCGAGGGAACCACCGGAGCCGCTGTCGATGTTCAGCTCGAACGTTCTCGGCTCGCTGAGAAGCACGGAGGAGTCCAGCGAAATAGAAGTGGATTTTGATATTCGGTATCGAGAGCAAATTCCATTCCTCTTGCTCAGCTCCAAACAAACTCCGAATATTCTTCATTTTTCATCCAGCACGGCAAGCCTCCAGATCATTGCCCGAACTGACCTTGCCCCATCTTTGCTCACTGCACTCAACGGATATTGGATAGATGGCGAGTGGCTTCAGGAGCTCGTTTGAAATCTTACGCGGGGGAAACGCTGCAACTGGGAATCACGAGAGACGGGCTCCGCCGACGCGACGGGTACGTGGAGCGATTTTGATGGCGGTCGGTCGCGTTTTTGCGCATAATCGTTTAAACGCTGCAGTTAAGCTGGGAACAACGCACAGGAAGCCCATGCGAAAACGCTCAAGTTGCGTTCAACGGGAATCCTTGTTGTAAATCCGACGTGAGAAAGTTTGCACGGATTTCGCAGGGGGAGCGAAGAGACTGAAGTCGATGAGACTATGAAAAGCTTGGAGAGCTGGGATGCCGTTCAATGAGAGCGAACAACATAGACTAGCGTACGTGAAGTCTTGGAACTAATTCATGAAGAATGAAACCGGCCACATTCGGCAATCTGAGTAAATTCCCTAGGGAGCCCCCTTGTTCAACTTATTCAGATCGGGAGACCAAGAACGAGTCCCCACGAATAGCATATCCGCGAATAAACCGTAGTCCGCTCCCACTCCGCATATTTCAGCCGTCGCGTGGCCCCACCGATGCTGAGCACGGTCAGAGAAAGGTGAGTGAATTCCCCACCGGAACCGCATGAGGTGTCAGCGCTAGAGAAAAGTATTCTGGCGGCGCCTGTGCGCCATCGAACCCGCCAACCAAGGCCGGAAGTAGTTCAAAGAGCATCGAATAATAATATTCTCGGGCTATATGTTAGTGTGAACCTGCCAGAAGTCGGTGCTTTCCGAACAATGAAGTCGCAGAAAAATGTCGCTCGCCGGGTTATTCAACGCGGGCGTTCCCGAGCCGAGCAGCGCAACGGGTCCCCAACCAGTAGACAAGTTTCTGTCCCGTCGAGAAACTATTTTATTCCCACGGGATAGGCATTGAGGGTCCCGAAATAAACTTGAATCTCCGACGGCATAGCGACCCTTCAATGAACCACTCCATCATCGCAGAGTACACGGTCGTAGTGAAAATACTTCCATCGATATCAGTCTGGCCCGGCAGTGATTCACGAACCCAATTCATGAGGCATTCATGCTCAGGTTCGAGCAGTCTCCCTCAACCGTGCACGGAGCTCTGGGAACTCATTCTTGCCGGGCCTTCCGAAGTTCTACCCACGTCGAAGGATCGAGGCAGATGTCAGCACCTCGGATGATGGGTCGATCCCCTTCGAAACGTCATTCACAGCACCGTCGCGTCGTTTCATCGACTAAGATTTCGTTTGTTGTTTGAAATCCGATCCCACCGGAACGATATCTTTCGACAACCAACCCACCACATGTCATTCACAATCGAATCTCGATGACTAGGGTGCGGAACAAAGCATTGTTCTTTATGCTATTGTGAAGATTTTCATCGAAGAACACAAAGTCAATCGCCTCGGTCGTTCTGAGCTCTTATTTAAGCGTAATTAGAGGGGCGGCTAGACCCCAGTGCGGCGACAATGGCCGCGTGTTATGTGTAAGCCCTGTCGTGAACTCGGGGAGTCGGGGAGCCTCAATGTAGAAATCTGAGAGGAAGTGAGAGGGAGAGATATGGAGGGGAAGAATCTCGAGGACAAGGCTTTCTCTCCCACGCAAACTCGAGAACAAAGACGCCATTGAACAAACATCGGACGATCCAGTTGTCGGATGTAACCATTGTCCATAAGGACTTTCTATTCTTCTGTCCGAGCGATCCGGGGCGAGAGCCACAGTAAAGGTGAGAAATTGTGGAGAAAGCTTTGTGGAACGCGACGATCAGGCAGCTGACAAGGAGAAAAAAAGTAGTGGCTCGTCCCCGGAGTTCGGGTTCATACAATGGACCGAGAACAGGGATCGTAGAAAATGAAAGTTTTGAGGTGCGGTCGAGAAGGTCGAATCGAGTTCGTTCCGCGGGGCAACAAAGCCCGGCCATCTTGACGAGCAGCTCGCTATACCTGATCAGATATTACGGAACTCCTGTTTCTGTCACCTCATAACAAAGGAGTATGAGCGAAATAATTCAATCCGATCATATCATCGTTAGCATTTCGGTCGTTCGATAATTAATGCAAGAAGATAATTTTCACTCTTTCCATCACGAATAAGATTAAAGCGCAGAATTCGATACGCCTACATTGGCGCGTTCTTCGATACCGACTTACCGAGCCTTGCTTCCATTATTTCCTCCCCTCATCGTTCTGATGATTTTCTATGTGGCCAGATGAATTTGGACTGGGCCCATTCCGAGTTGGCTCATGATTTCGATGAATCGCTCTTGTTCTCCGATATACAGACTCTCAGCCTCCGCGAACTCCTTTGCGACGTATCATTCGAAAGCGCTGACCTGCACTAGCAATCGAATCGTTTCTCGAAGAGGCATAGGCGAACACTCTCGAACGGGAGCAGCTCCTCCCGCAGATCATTTTTTTCGGCATCAACAAGGTTCAGATCGATGAACGTTTTTCTGATACCATGGGCTA